AGTCTATCATACAACCCTCACACACACTCACACTCACAGCTCTCACATCCAGAGTCTATCATACAACCCTCACACCTACACAACTCACACACACAGCTCTCACATCCAGAGTCTATCATACAACCCTCACACACACTCACACACACAACTCTCACATCCAGAGTCTATCATACAACCCTCACACACACTCACACACACAACTCTCACATCCAGTCTATCACACAACCCTCACACCTACACAACTCACACACTCACACACACAACTCTCACATCCAGAGTCTATCATACAACCCTCACACACACTCACACTCACAGCTCTCACATCCAGTCTATCACACAACCCTCACACCTACACAACTCTCACACAGTCACATACACACTCACAACTCTCACATTCAGAGTCTTTCTCACAGCCCTCACACATAGGCACGTATACCCACAACTCTCACAGACTCACACTCACACACACACATACACTCTCACACACAATTCTCATCCCCCATTCTCTCACAACCCTCACACACTCACATCCTCACACCCACACAACTCTCACATACTCACACTCATGCACACATACACTCTTACATGTTCCCATGTTCCCACACAGGCTGGGAGGCTCACAGCCTCCCACACTCCTGCTTCCTCACCGGGACATGCCCTGGGCTCCCCTGTTCCCACCGGCCCCCTGTGCACTCGCTGCACAGTCACACGCATGTGCGTGCACACTCCTTGATACGCTGCCTAATGGCCTCATGCTGAGACGCTGGACACACACAACTGCACACTGGCTGAGCTCCCTCTGTTGTACACCCCTATGCCCCAACCCACATGTTTCACCCACAAGTTCACACATCTCCACGTGCAAATCACGTGTACCCTCACAGCCGAGTCTGCACTGGAATCCTTAGGCCCCTGTGGCAGGGCAATGTCTGCTTCCCTGGGGAGCCTGGGACACTGAGAGCCACCTGAGGTGACTGCAGTGATTTCTCCTGTCTCTGCAGAGCTGTATTGGGTAGGGGAGGAGAGAGTCTGTGACCGAGGGTATAGGACCAGCCTTCAGGAGTGAGATGGGAGAGAACTGGGGAGCCTCTCCAAACCCATGGAAGGAAGAGTTTTGTCCACATCAAAGCTGGCTGGGCATGGGAGTGAGCTTCACATCATAGGAGGTATGCAAGCACGGGCAAAACTACTCTTTGATACAGAAGGCGTGGAGGGGCCTCCAGACTGCCTTACAGGGAGATGGGGTTAGAGGGAGAGTCCTGCAGGAGCCTCCAGCCAGACGCACTGGGAGCCAGAGGTGGGGGTGGAGGAGATGGGCCAGGGCAGAGGGGACAGGAGAGGGCGGGTGGGGGCAGGTAAGGGTGGGGCCGGCCGTCCTGGAGGGTGGGGGCTGTCTCGCCGTGGCTGCCATAAGTCAGCCGAGATGGACAGTTTCCTTTCTCCTGCCTGATTTACTGCCTGCTTTGGAGGGGTGAGGCTCATTCTTTGAACTTCAAAGGGAGCAGTGAGTGCAGCCACACTGGGGTGACAGCCTGCTGAGGCCGGGGGTCCAACCCCGGTCAGCCGGAGAGGCCTGGGGTCCTGGGTCTATGGATGCGCACCAAGCTTGCCAAGCCTCCGTCTTCTCATCTGTAAAATGTGGTCCTAGCCACAGCCCCTGAGATGAGGACAAGATTTACCTCCATGGCCCATTTCAGATGCCAGGGGCTGTGACCCCAGAAATCTGTTCTAATTTCTCAGTCTAGGAAGTTCTGTTCAGGATAGAGAGGGACCTGTCGCCTCTCCTGATTTTAGGCTTATTTGTACATTTCTTCTTCCCATGATTCCTTTATCATCGTCACAAAGACGGAAATGAAGGGAAGCTTTCTTATGTTTTTCTTTCCTTATTTTGCAGGTGGGTTAATTGAGGCCCGGAGACATTAGGTCCATCTCCTAACCACACAGAGAGGCCTCTGGCCCTGTCTCCATCTCTGCAAGCATCGGCCCCAGGCCTGCGCACACATTTGTTTGCTGTTTTTTATCCCTTTGTGGAAGGACTGGCTGGCTGGGCTCTACCGCTGAGCCCCATGTAACCGTAGCCAGCTTCCTATGTCTGGGCCTCCGTTTCCTCATCTGTCAAAAGGGGCTGTACACTCGTGCTCTGAAACGGTTGTCTAGAAAGAACCCCAAGCCCCATCCCGGCAGCCGTGGTGCCTGGGTCAGGCCTGCAGGTGTGTTTTCCTTGTCCGGTGTTACAAAAAACATCAGGGCAGGTGTCAGTGTTCAAATGTAGGAGGTTTCCCATACAAATTTGGGTTTCTACCTTCTCTTGAAGAATCTCACTTTGGTAGTACTGGTGTTCCCAAGCTGCTAATCTCTGACTGGAGCTGGAGACAGCACCCCACTAAGGAGGAGGACGTGTCCTTCCCCACCACACCCCTTTTGAGCCAGGGCCTTCATTAATGTGCCACACGTGGCCCCTAAGCTGCTTCAGTTTGCGACTGCCTGAACTGACCTGCTTGGACTCCCTGCTCTGTTTCTTACCTGCTGTGTGACCTTGGGCAAGTCACTTAGCTTCTTGGGGCCTTGGAGTGGACTAAAGCATGTGGTACCTGGAGCAGGCTCAGCACAGACCTCTTGGCATTTTTTTTTTTTTTTTTTTTGAGATGGAGTTTCGCTCTTGTTACCCAGGCTGGAGTGCAATGGCGCGATCTCAGCTCACCTCAACCTCCGCCTCCTGGGTTCAGGCAATTCTCTTGTCTCAGCCTCCTGAGTAGCTGGGATTACAGGCACGCACCACCACGCCCAGCTAATTTTTTGTATTTTTAGTAGAGGCAGGGTTTCACCATGTTGACCAGGATGGTCTTGATCTCTTGACCTCGTGATCCACCCGCCTCGGCCTCCCAAAGTGCTGGGATTACAGGCATGAGCCACCGCACCCGGCCACCTCTTGGCATTTTGTCTGTGCTCAGGAGGCATCGTGGCTGCTGCTGCTGAGCTCAGTGGGGTCAGAGGAAGGAGAGCTCTGCCCTGCCCTCCTGCATGGCGTCAGATTGAGGCAGCAGGCTGTGGGAAGCAGCTCAGGCTGTGAAGCCAGAGGGACCAGCAAGAAGAGCCCTGGGAAGTTAGAGGCCAGGAATGGGGGACAGTGTGAGAATGACCCCGCCTCAAGGGGGACAAAGAGGAGCTCAGTGAGACTGCAGCTCATCTGGGAGGGGGCACGGGGTAGCAGGGTGGCAGAGGGCGGAGGAAGCCACTAGGGACCTCCAATCACACCGTGGAGATGGGGACCCATGGAGGCTCTTGAGCTGGGGCACCTCCGCTCTCCAAAGTCAACAGAGATGCGAAAGGATGCAGTCACCTAGTGCCTCTCCTCAGAGGTTCCCGGGCCCTCGGACAGACCAGTGCTAGGGAAGGGCAGGTCTGGGTCTTTACACCTGCGCTGCGACCTGCCTGCCCTAGATGTGAAGCTGTCCCTGCCTAGGGGAGTCATCCAGGACTTTGGGTCTCAGCTCCACCTCCATGTGGCCCTGGCAGGTTCCCTTGCACCCCTGGAGCCTTGGTTTCCACATCCATAAAACTCAGGGATGAACCACTTGGTCTAGAAGTTTCTTTTAGTGTAGGCAAGTTCTGGCTCTTTATCTTCAAGGGTGAATGTGTTCCTTAGGGGAGGGGTATGGGGACAATGCCTTCAATCCCCTGCCAGTGAGCAGTGAGCGTGCAGTCGGAGCTGAGGTTCTATTTCTGTGTCTGGTAGGGGAGGGGTTGCAAGTGCATTCTAGAGAGAGGGAACCCTCGCAATCCATCTTTTGGCGCTGCCACTAGCCAGAAATCCACAAAGACAAAATATTTGTTGAGCATTTACTATGTGCTGGGTCTTGTGTGGGGCCCCATAGAGCAGACAACTCAGGCAGAAATGCACGACCTGTCCCCAAATGTGGCAGCCAAGGACCTCCCCAGCTCGCCCAGAGATGGGAGCTGGTTGCACCAGAAGGAAACCCTCAGTTGGGAATGTGTGCTGTCTTTTAGAAATGATTTGGAGGCCATAAATTTTCGGTAGCAAAGCAACCCTCAGACTTTTCATAACGCTGAAGAGTTTAGACTTGTCTCAAGGGGTAACAATTTCACCCAAGTAGCGCACCAGCTCCAACTATTTGTTATTGCAAAGGTTGATTTTTTTTTCCCCTTAAGGTGGAATCCTCAGATTTCATGCTCTGCTTTAACTTGTTTTATTTCACCTGGAACACAAATAAAAATAGCCCTCAAGATGTATAGATCGACCTGAGAGAAGTTTCTTCCTTCCTTCTGGTGTGGAGGGAGGCTGGAGGGAGGACGGAATGAGTGTTCATGTGTCCTGGGCCTTGCTCTGGGTGCGTGGGAGATCCTGGCAGCCTCTGGCCAGGGCTGGGTGGGGTTGTGAGGACCCCTCCAACTGGTTGGATCCTCAGGACAGCTCCCCCACAACTTAGCTATTTTACAGTGAGGAACGAAAACCTGGAGGCATCTGGCAACCTGCCCACAGTCTCACCGCTGGGCATTTTGGGAGCCAGGGTTTAAATGTAGGCCTGTGTGACTTTAAAGCTTGTGTCCATTTTGGGGCAAATCTCTTGAATCTCAACTCAGCACTCACCATCGGAAGCCATGCTCACCCTTCTCCAGCTGAAGTGGGAAGCTTGAGTGTGAACAAGACCGCAGGGAGAGGATGTTTAGCATAGTTGGTTCCACGGCTGATTTGAAGTCTCCTTAAGCACTGTGGAAGCCCTGTTTCCATGCCAACAGCTGCTCTGTGCCACTTACCGGCATTTTTATCTACTCGCTAAAGCAGGCCCTCAAAGAATGCCAAAGGGAGCACTTGGGGCTCAGAAGCAGCTCATTTGCATTCTCTTTGCATATGCAGTAATTTTTCTGGATTCTCCCAAAAGGGACCAGCTGACACAGTGCATGTGTTGTCTCTAGGGCCTGACTTGACAGGATAAAAGGGTCTCAAAATTGTGCTGTTTGTTGTCAGAAGGGAGGGTCCGAGGCTGCTGAGCCTTGTCGGGGAGCAGGGGACCTGTGGCTGAGTCCTGCCTTTTGCAGGCTGCCCCAGGACAGGGCACGCAGGCAAACACAGGGCTGGGCTCAATGGGATGGGGACAGATTCTAGCTCAGTCAATCAGAATGTTCTCTATTGAGATAGTTTTTTGTTTGCGAAAATCCTCAACTTTGGCGACCACCACGAGGTGCTTTATGTTATGGCGTGTTCTCCCATGAGTGAGGCATGGTTGTCCCATCCCACAGATGAAGAAGGGAAGTCACTTGCTTCACGGCCAGGGAAGGGCTCCAGCGAGACATGGGCTTCTGAAATTGGAGGTGTGTGAAGGCCCTGAGAGGCACAGGATCTGGTGAGCTGAGCAGCGGGGAGAAGGCATTCCAGGGTGGGAACGGAGGTGTGGAGCGGGTGTATTCGCTGTCATAAAGAACCACTAATGGGGGAGCTTAAACAAGAGAAACAGTTCCTTGCAGTTCTGGAGCCTGGAAGCCCAAGGCCAAGGTGTCGGCAGGGTTGGTTTCTCCTGCAGTCTCTGTCTGCTTGTAGATACCATCTTCTCCCCGGGTCCTCACATGGTCTTCCCTCTGGGCATCTGTCATCTAATCTCCTCTTCTTATAAGAGTACCAATCAGCTTGGATCAGGGCCCACCCCACGGACCTCATTTCACCATAATCACCTCTTTAAGGCCCTGTCTGAGATACAGCTCCCGTTCTGAGATACAGGGGGTTAGGACCCAGTATATGGATTTTGGAAAGTGACACAATGCACCCAAAGCAGTGGAAATTGTCATGTGGGCGTTGGTGGGAACACTGAGTGGGAAAGAAAGATGTAAGAGGGTGGGTAGGGGAGATCTTGGTTCTGGAAGCCTGGCCTGACAAGCTGAGGATTTGGTCCTCTCCTCCTGTGTGATGGACACATGCCACCGTTCCCACGGCAGGGGGTTTCAGGATGAAAAGACTTTGGAGGTCAACTAGGCTGGTGCCAGTTGTCTTGGACTGGGTTGGTGGTACCAACGGAGACAGCTGTCTTTCCAGGAGCAGCACACAGCTCAAGTGTGGGGTTTTCTTTAAACAGGCCAGTTTTCTGGGGGCTTAAGGGCCCTCCAGTCTGGGGAAATTCAACAATCTTGCTCAGGGTGCAAGAACAACATCTGACTCATCTCCATGTGCCCAGCCTGTCATGGCACAGAGCCTGGCATGGAAGAGACACTCATTGGTGTCTGTCAAAAACCCAGTGTCAGCCAGGACACTGGCTGTGAGCAGCAGGTGGCTTCTGTTGGTTATACTTCTTGTCAGCTTGAAAAAAAAATGTGTCTTTTAGCCTGGGCTCCCAGCTAAACACAGAGCCTGAGGTGAGGGTTTAGGACTTGGCAGTTTATTTTGAGGTATAATCCCAAGGAGAAGGAGGATTGAGGCTAGTGAGACAGAAGTCCCCCAAGGCCAGTCCAAGGGGACATTATTGATTCAGTCACTGCTGGCGGCAATGAGGGTTCAAGCCTGCTGGGGGCCCTCTGTGGAGTGTGTCGGGTGCCTCAGGATTGTCTTCCTAGGGAGGAGGCTAAGTCCTTGTGGAGTGGTGCGTCCCTCCTCTGCCTGCACTTCTGGGTTTGCCCATGTGTCAGCATGGCTCTGGGGGAGAGTACCCTATCCCATGTGGTGGCTTCAGCAGGCCTATGAGAGATGGATCATCAGGGCTGGCATGTGAGGCATTCTGGGTTGATCCTATGCAGAGCTGGTTGTTGCAGCCGCAGCTGGAGGGCAGGCATGGCCCAGCACATGCGAGGTGGGGGACAAGAGGTGTCAGATACCTCTTCCAAGCTGCAAGAAGTATAATTAATAGAAGCCACCTGTCATTTGAAGCCAACATCCTGGCTGACATTTGGTTTTTCACAGACACTGATGGGTGCCTCTTCCACCCCAGGCTCTGTGCTATGCCAGGCTGAGCACATGGAGCTGAGTCAGATGTTATTGCATCCTGAGCTCTGGACATCAGTTAAGGGGACCATTGTCATCCTCACTGAGGAGTGCTGGGAAGAGGCCTCTATGGACTACAGGGCAGGCACAGAGCAGGGACTTGCCATTTCTGCCTGGGGTGGATATGGGGTGGATAGGGTCCCCCCATATCAACTATGGATCTTAGTTATTATCACCCAAAAGTGGCTCTGGCTTGGGCAGAGAGAAAGGTTTGGGCAGTTGTGGCAGCTGCTGCTGATCTACCCTGCACCTGTTCTCCCTCCCTCCTGCCTGGGGGAGGGAAGTGTCACTCATGGATCAGAACCCTGGAGGCCGTGAAGTCATGCTCTAGGCAGAATGGAGGCATCCTGGCAAAGAAGCATGAACTGAGGCCCCTGTGGGCACCTGCTAGACCCCAGATCTGAAATCTGGGTGCTGCCATTCTTCCTGGGCACACGGATAGGCACATCCCTCAGGCTGACCTACAGTTAGTGACTGAGTTCTGGCCCCTGGACTGTGGGCAGAAGTAATGCCTGCCATTCTGAGGTCTGGCCCAGAAGAGGTGTCCTCTTCCTGCCGACAGTCTGTCTCCACTCACTGGCTAGACAATGCCAGGGTAGCCTCCAGGCCACAGAGTGGAGACACTGGTGCACAGCATGGAAGGAACCTCAGTCCTGAAGTGACTGTGTGAAGCTGAGCCCCTTGGACAAGCCTCCTTGAACTATAACAAGAGTGAGAAATAGACCTTCGTGGTGATGAGCTGCTGGAATTTGGGGCTGTTAGCTTTCTCCAACAACACAAAAACTGGTAATCTGAAATGAGCATGACCATACGAACCTATAGGTGTGGCACTGGCTGTGGAGCAACAGTGTGGAAATTGATATAAGATGCTGTGAAATATGGCAGTCCATGTTATGAAGTGGCAAAGTATTTGGAAGAACGGTTGCCTGTGATAACTGGGAGGACCAAGCACACCAGCATTGAGCCTGTAGCTCCAGGGGAAGTGGTTGGAAGGAATTAACGGATTAGTGTGTCTTGGCTACCATGGGTTGCATTTGGCAAGGTGTTACGGGAAAGAGATGGGCTCAGGAGAGTCACAGAAACAGAAGGGGACAGAAAGAGAGGCTTTTCGGAGTTCAAAAACCAAGCACATCTAGACCTGAAACAGTAAGAAATAAGAGTGAGAAACACTTCTGGCTACAGTGAAGACTAGAAGAGGGATGTGACATTTCCACTCAATTACATAGCCTTAAGATGGTCACGTTGGGAGGGAAAGGCAGGGAAGCAAAGAAGCAGGGAAAAAATTAATGGGGCTGGACAATTAAGTCTATGGGAGAACCGCGGGTGTGATGTTTGACTGACAGGTGAATAGATCAGAAAGTTAGCTATGGAGGGAACTGCACTGATAAAGAAGCAATGATCCTGGAAATAAGAAGAGTCTTTGACTGAAGCTTAAAATATCCGTCCACCTGCCACTATCCAGGAACAAGAAGTAGGTTCTTAAAACTCTGTGGCGTCCGAGGAGGAAACTCCACTACACAGCCACGTCAGAGGGGGCCGTGGAGGAAGATTAACAAGGAAGAGCTAATACAGGGTTAACTGAGCGGGGCGGGGGGAGGTGGAGAAAATTTTATTTTATTTTATTTTGAGATACAGTCTCCCTCTGTAGCCAGGCTGGAGTGCAGTGGCTTGATCTTGGCTCACTGCAACCTCCGCCTCCTGGGTTCAAGTGATTTTCTTGCCTCAGGCTCCCAAGTAGCTGGAATTACAGGCATACACCACCAACTCTGGCTAGTTTTTGTATTTTCAGAAGAGATGGGGTTTCACCATGTATTGGCCAGGCTGGTCTCAAACTCCTGGCTGCAAATGATTCACCTGCCTCAGCCTCCCAAAGTGCTGGGATTATAGGTGTGAGCCACTGTGCCCAGCTAGACAAGGAGTTTTCTAAGAAAGTAGAGCCAGAGTCTAGTCAGGGCACACCCTTGGCCGCTAAGATAGGGAAATCTCTCAGTCTCTGCCCCTGTGCAATGGACCCTGTGTGACGGATCCTGCAATGGACTGCCCACTGTTGAGTGGCTGCCATTCCTTTCTCTTTGGAGTGGGAGTTTCTTCTGGGGTTATCTTATACTTGCCTCACCATCACATTCTCTCTCTGTGTGTGTGCACGTGTGTGTAAGGGAGCAACGAACACATTTGTTCTATAGTCCACAGGTCACCAGATCATACAGTGGCTGGATGAGTTTCGGGTTGTCTCCCTTGAGGAGAGGATGAGCTTTTTCTATGTGTAGGAAGGAGAGCCTCATGGGTATGTGTTGGCAGGGGGCAGACTGTGGCAGAGACTGCTAGTGGATGGCAGTATTCATGTCACCTCCTTTCCTCCTGGGCACTGCGTGAGGTCACATTCCTGGCTCCTAGCAGTTAGCTGGGGCCATGTGATTGAATTATGGCCAAAGCAGTGTGGACAGAAGGGACACCATCTCCTGGCTTGGCCTTCAAAACCCTACATCATCTTCCCCATTCTCTGTTTTCATTCACCAGCTGGATGATGCCAAGGTGACCTTGGTGGCCACATGTCAAAGATGGAGGTGCACGAAATGGAAGGAACCTAGATCCCTGAATGACTGTGTGGAGCTGAGTCCCTGCATTGGATGGTGACATGAGTAAGAAACCTTTACTGTTTCAATCCACTGTGATCTGGTGGCTCTTTGTTACAGGATTAACTTATTTTGACCAATACACACTTCTCTTGGCCCCCTCAAAGCCTGGATGATCTTTAAAAGTCATGTTAATCTTCTGTAGAAAACTTGTGGCTTGTCCTGTTGCTGATAGGGCAGTCACAAACCCTTACTGCAGCCCATAGAGCTCAGCACCAGCCCTCTCCTATCTTACCAACCCTTTCTTCTCACTCTCTCCCTCTCGCTCTCTATTCTCTGGTTATGCTGGCTTGCTTTCTTTCTTCAAATATCCCATGCTGTCTTCTCTCTCAGCATCTCCCTTCTGTTCCTTCTGCCTAGAATTCTCCTCTTGCACTGTGTTGTCAGGGTCCCCCCTAGTATCCTTCAGATCTTAGCTCAGGGAAGATTCCCAGTATCCTCAAGTTGATTGGGTTCCCCCCATGTCTGTTGTGGATCTTAGTTACAATCACCCAGAAGTGGCTCTGGCTTGGGCAGAGAGAAAAGTTTGGGCACTTGTGGCAGCTGCTGCTGCTGCTTTACCCTGCATCTGTTTCCCTCCTTCCTCCTTCCTAACAGACCCCAGTTTAGTTCAGAGGAATGATGTGTCCTTGAAGCTCCTTCCCCAGATGCTCTACTGGCTGCAGGTGGCCACCAGAGCCAGTTCTGTCTAGAGGGATGTGACATTCTGCTTGGTGGGTTCTTAAAGGCTATTGTTTCCTAAAAAGGCTGGCATAGGCCTTTCCCTCTCCATCCTCCCATCTTCTCACTGCCTGCATGAGGATGCAAGCCGCATGCTAAGGATGGAAGCCCAGGAGCTGGAAGGAGCCTGCGTTTTAGATGACAGCCGCAAGCAGCTGCGCCAGCCATGGCCTGCCAATCTCTAGGGGAGACCAAAATCCTATTTGGCTAAGCATGGAAACAGGGTTGTCTTTGTCCGTTTTCTGTTGTTTATAACAGAATATCTGAAACTGGGCAGTTATAAAGAATAGGAATTTATTTCCTACAGTTCTTGAGGCTGAGAAGTCCAAGGTTGAGGGGCTGCATCTGCTGAGGGCCCTCTTGCTGCTGGGGACTCGCTGCAGAGTTCCAAGGTGGTGCAGGGCTGAGTGTGCGAGCTCAGGTCTCTCTTTCTCTCCTTAGAAAGCCACTGTCCCACCCCCATGATAACCCATTAAGCCATTAATGCATTAACCCATGAATGGATTCATCTACTCATAAGGACAGAGCTCTCCAGGCCCAATCACCTCTTAACGGCCCTGTCTCTCAGTACTGCCATATTGGGGATTAATTTCAGTGTGATTTTTGGAGGGGCCAAATATTCAAACATAGCAGGGGTTTTTAGTACGTGCAGCTGAACACTCTCCTAATTAATGCAATTAATCCTTGGCCAGGGCCTTGAGAACTGTGTGTTGGGATGCTGTTCCTGAGGTTCCTGGAATGAACCCAAAGCACCCCTGCCTCTCTGGGTTGTGTTTCAAATCCAAACTCTGGGCAGGACCATCTGGTTGACCACACCCAGGTCACAGGTCCACCTTGTCAGGGCCAGGCAGAGAGAATGTCCTGGCCCCTGGAATGCTACAGTGGGAGGTCAGGTCTGGCTGCCCACCTGCTTAGGGCTCTCTTAATTCCCTGTGCTTTTATTATGCCCTTTATAAGGCATGGGCTGCCACAGCCATGAAGCTGGGAATGGGCAAGAGCCCAGGAAGGGGCAGAAAAGGTGTGGGGCTCCCGAAGGCAGCTGGAATGGGATGGGTTGAGAAAGCTCCCGGGAGGAGGGAATCCCAGGTGCACACACCTTGAATGCTGTTATTTGCTGCTGCTGCTGGTGGTGAAGACACCTTCCCAAGACTCCCTCTCTGGAGTCAGGCTCCCTGACTGATCCTTCCACCCCTAGACCCCATCAACCCCCAAGGCTTGTCCAACCTCTAAACTGAGGGCCGGAGAGGGCACTGGATTTGTGACTGGTTACAAGGCCCTCCCATTTCTCAGCTAATGAAGTGGTGGGGCCAGTCATGGTGGCAGTGAAATGCATGGCCAAGGGGGCAGTGTGTGCAAGTGTTCTGTCTTGCTGCAGTGGGGCAAGTGGTAGAAATTGGCACACCCGGCTGGGCACAGTGGCTTACGCCTGTAATCCCAGCACTTTGGAAGGCCGAGGCAGGTGGACCATGAGGTTAGGAGTTCGAGACCAGCCTAACCAACATGGTGAAACTCTGTCTCTACTAAAACATACAAAAAAAATTAGCTGGCTTGGTAGTGGGTGCCTGTAATCCCAGCTGCTCAGGAAGCTGAGCTTGGAGAGTCACTTGAACCCAGGAGGCAGAGGTTGCAGTGAGCCGAGATTGCTTCACTGAACTCCAGCCTGGGCAACAGAGCAAAACTCTATCTCAAAAAAAAGAAAAAGAAAAAAAGAAATGTGCCCAGCCCGAGGTATGATGCCCAGGCCTGAGGTGCTGAGTCCTCGCCTGGGACTGTTACTGGTGCACAGTGAAGCTGTCTCGCACCTGCAGTGAGTGTTCAGGGTGCTGGTGTGGTGTGCAGCCTGGGGGTGAGTGCTGGCCCTGTTGGGTGTGCTCCATTCAAATCAACTCCCGTCTGGACAGCCAGCCCCACCAACCCACCTTGCTCCAGAACATAGGTGCCATCCATGGATCCACCTCTGCTCGTGCATGAAGTTATTCAACCTAAGGCAGCCTATATTTCTGTCATTCATCTCCAGACATACACAGAGCCCCTACAATGTGTCAGGCCCAGGGCTGTGCATTGGAGGGGCACCACTGAGCCAAATCGACCACGATTCTGCCCTCCTAGAGCAGACGGTTTTGGGAGGAGACCAGACATTACACACACACACACACACACACACACACACACACACACACACAAAGTTATGACTTCCTGTGGAGGTGTGAGGAGGGCTATGAAGACAGTGAATGGCGCAGACAGAGACAGTAACTGGAGACCTGCTGTAGGTCAGGGGAGAGAGGTGCAGAGCAGGGCCGGGCAGTCTTCTGGTGCAGGCAACACTGGCTCACGGAGGAAGGTTGGGGAGTGTGAAGCAGAATCACTGTGTACCACATCAGTCCCAGGGGAGGACTCTAAACACCTTGCCCACTGCAACTTGAGTTGTGTTAATTTCTGTCACTTGCATGAGTCCAGTGAGACAACACTCACCTACAGCAAGTTACATGAAGCAGATTTGTCACTTAGAGATAGGTAGCCAGGGACAGCAGAGCCTGGGATGCATGGTAAGCTGGTCCCTAGGCTCGAGAAAGCTGCCCAGGGTGGCTGGAGTCTTGTCTGCATGTGCCCCACTTGCAATGCAGCTGAAGGACTCTGGAAAGCAGTCAGCCCTGGGTTTCATACTCCAGAGACAAGGCTTGCTGAACTAAATCTCTGCAGGACATTCTGCTCTAGGAGGGACAGGAACAGAGCCCAGGCTGCTCTGACCAGGTCCTCCTTATCCCAGGATGTTGCATCCTCAGCACATTCTACAGCAATTCTTGAGACTGCAAGTAAGAATGGCGGGAGAGAGCTGGGTGGGTCCAAGCCACCCTTAGTACCATGCTGCAGGCACTAGTTCCTTTCAGGGTGCATCTGGAAGTGGCATGCACCTCTTTGGCTCACCTCCCATTGGCCAGGACTTCCTCCAATGCCCATGTCTACCCACAAAAGAGGCTGGGAGATGCAATCTCCTGGGGGATGGTGGGGCATCATGATCCCAGATAACAAGTAGAGGATATCTTACTGTTCAGAAGAAGGAGAAGGTGGAAACTTGTGGACAACCATCGTCTCTGCCTTGTACTCTGGGAATTGGAAGCTGTGCAATACATCCTGGAGGAATCTCCCTCCAAATGTCCCAGGACATGTAGCAGAGCATGTTTAGATATGGAAGGTCTTCTGGGAATGGCAAATGGGTGATTAATTTTAGCACACAGGTTGGCTTCTTACTCAGTCCGGAAAGCCTGATTATGGGGTCTTGTGGGGGATTCTCCTGCATGTTTTTACCAGGCAGAGTCCCCAAATTCCCTCTGCAGCAGCCCTACCAGCTGCTCCTCCAACCTAGCTTGCATGTCTCCCCTGATGGGAAGCTTACTCCCTCCTGGATACCCTTCCCTTTCTTTGGCCTCCTGACTGGGAGAAAGCGCTCCTCATGGGGCACTCTGATTTTCCTCCTGTGATCAGTCCCCTCCTACCATTAGTCCTGGCTCTGCTCTCCATTCTCCCCTCACCCCAGAACAGTCCTATAGAAATTTGGAGTGAACCACAGAGGCTGCTAAAGTGGTTTTTCATTGCTTTTCTATCAGTGAAAGAGAAGCATATGACTGAGTGAGACTCCTGGGACATTCGAGTCCTCATGGCCAAGGTCAGCCCCCAGATACTTATGTGCTGTGTCCAGTGTCCCAGGCCTGGATCAGGCTCCAGGCCAGGATCAGCCAAAGCCTGGCTGTATGGCCTTGGGCAAGTGGCTTCAGGGCTGAGTCTAACTCCCAACTCTGACCCTGGTCCTGGGGTCAGGTGTGCCACCTGCCTGGGCCTCAGTTTCCTCATTTCCAAAGCAGAGGTAGTGATTGACAGTACTGACCCATGGATTTTCTAGGAGGCTTTAAGAAGCTGAGGCTTACAGAGAACTTAGCATGCCGTTGGCTACAGTAGGAGAGTGGGAGGGCTTCTATTTTGAAATATTACAGAATAGTTCTTTTTCCCCAGATAGCCTGTGCTACCTCTTGGTCAATTCAGTGAACCAGCTGCTTCTTAGGCTTTGGTGTTCAAAAGCCTAGACCCACTGGGAATGGAAGGTCTCACAGGAGGTCTTTAAAAAGGTAGTGAGAGTTCGCCATGTGCTGAGCACTGTTCCTATTGCGCTGAACACGTGGTCTCCTGGAATCTTAAGGCCAGTCTATGAGGCAGTTCCTCTCATTATTTCCATTTCACAGATGAGAGAACCGAGGCACAGAGAGGTTATGTGTGTTGCCCAAGGGCACACA